ACAGGTGATGGTGACAGGCAGGTAGTGTTACCTGGCTCATAGGGTAGGTAATGGTGACAGACAGGTAGTGTTACCTGGCTCATAAGACAGGTGATGGTGACAGGCAGGTGGTGTTACCTAGTACATAGGACAGGTGATGGTGACAGGCAGGTAGTGTTACCTGGCTCATTGGGTAGCTAATGATGACAGACACGTAGTGTTACCTGGCTCATAGGACAGGTAATGGTGACAGACAGGTGGTGTTACCTGGCTCATAGGACAGGTGATATTGACAGACAGGTGGTGTTACCTGGCTCATAGGACAGGTAATGGTGACATACAGGTAGTGTTATCTGGCTCATATGACAGGTGATGGTGACAGACAGGTGATGTTACCTGGCTCATAGGACAGGTTATGGTGACAGACAGGTGGTGTTATCTGGCTCATATGACAAGTGATGGTGACAGACAGGTGGTGTTTCCTGGCTCATAGGACAGGTAATGGTGACAGACAGGTGGTGCTACCTGGCTCATAGGACAGGTGATAGTGACAGACAGGTGGTGTTACCTGGCTCATAGGACAGGTAATAGTAACAGACAGGTGGTGTTACCTGGCTCATAGGATAGGTGATGGTGACAGATAGGTGGTGTTACCTGGCTCATAGGACAGGGGATAGTGACAGACAGGTGGTGTTACCTGGCTCATAAGACAGGTAATGGTGACAGACAGGTGGTGTTACCTGGCTCATAGGATAGGTGATGGTGACATACAGGTGGTGTTATCTGGCTCATATGACAAGTGATGGTGACAGACAGGTGGTGTTACCTGGCTCAAAGGACAGGTAATGGTGACAGACAGGTGGTGTTACCTGGCTCATAGGACAGGTGATAGTGACAGACAGGTGGTGTTACCTGGCTCATAGGACAGGTAATGGTGACAGACAGGTGGTGTTACCTGGCTCATAAGACAGGTGATGGTGACAGACAGGTAGTGTTACCTGGCTCATATGACAAGTGGTGGTGACAGACAGGTGGTGTTACCTGGCTCATAGGACAGGTAATGGTGACAGACAGGTGGTGTTACCTGGCTCATAGGACAGGTGATAGTGACAGACAGGGGGTGTTACCTGGCTCATATGACAAGTGATGGTGACAGACAGGTGGTGTTACGTGGCTCATAGGACAGGGGATGGTGACAGACAGGTAGTGTTGCCTGGCTCATAGGACAGGTAAGTTGTTCACTCCTATAGATGTCTTAGGTGTGAGCAGCGCCCACCCCCTCCCCTTCCTCTACCTGTCTGTCTGTACGACTTCCCCCCCCCCTCCCCTGCCCCTCGTCCATCCTATTCTCTTGTCTTTCATACGTCACTCTTTTATCATTCTCTTGTTCTTTTCTCACCGGCCCTTTTCACCCCCTCTCTCCAGTCTCTCTCTCTTTTGACTCTTACTTGACTCTCTCTCTCTCTCTCTCTCTCTCTCTCTCTCTCTCTCTCTCTCTCTCTCTCTCTCTCTCTCTTTAACTCATTCTCTCTCTTTTGACACTCTTCATAAGTGGCTCTTCTGTTCTGTGTTTTCAGTCTCCCTCCCTCTTTGTACTCTCCCCCTCCCTCCTCTCTCTCTATCTCATAGACCTCTTCACTTCTGTATCCTTTGTCTGTCAGTGTCTGTCTTCCACCCCACCCATCCACATTCCCACATTCCTCCAAACCGGATATATTGTCTCTTGAGAAGCTAGCAGGTGTTTCACTCGGGGCACAACTCAGTATTTCCTTCACAACTCGGACACTGGTCAAGATATTGCATCGAAATTTGGGGTGGACTTACCTCCATTCATGACTACAACTGACACTTAGGCAGCAAAACATCCATTGACCTTGTGTCACGCCCATTTATCAGTGCGGCCATCCAAGCGGTGACACCTGACGTACTGAGATGGACTTGCCACAACATGCAACGCTAGACGTCAATGATGGCAATTTTCAGCACCTGTTAGTTGTCACCTAACTTCACATGAATGGAAGCAATTCCTCCCAAAGTTTGTTGCCATATCAGTTTGGTGTTCGAGTTATGAACGAAATACTGGGTTCCGATTTAACTAAAAGATAAAATACTGAAAGATATCAGAAGTGAACTTTATACGCTTTAAGTGGAATGTAAAAAACTTTATCACAATCTGTATAGTTTAGAGCTACAATCTGTAGAGTATAAAGCTTCAATCTGTATAGTTTAGAGCTACAATCCGTATACTTTAGAACTACAATCCTTGTGTCTGAATAAGCTACAATAATACAGACACTGCACAGAATGAGTTTAAGAAATAGTTGTAAAATAATCGATTATAGTCACAAAAGAATCGATTATAGTCACAAAAGAATCGGCCAGATGGAAGTAAAGAATGTATGCCATGTATAAATTGTGTGCCATCTCAACATTTCTGTGTATTGAAAGAGTTAACTTTGCATGCTTTAACCTAACTTGGTATCACACATCAATCTGCCCACGCTTTTCTTAGTCACACAGCCACGACAGCCAACCCACCTACAGTTAGTTGCATGACCTTTTCAGGACGTTGCAGATCCAGTTGCATTTAGAAAAAAAAAGGGGGGTGGAGGGGAGTAGCTTTTGCGATTTCACTAGGCAATTTTCGCATCAGTAATTTAATGAAATTTATGATACCACTTGCGGACAACAACGTGTCTGTTATCGGTGATACGTAAGTTAAGTGATTTTGTATATTTGACAGTGCAAATGCTTTTGTTGATTTATGTAATGTGCTGATGGAGTGTGTGTAGTGGCAACGTTCACTTTCCGTTTGTGTGTTTATATTGTAAAGTTCGCGGGTCTATTATTCGTTTGGTTTTATATCGTTTCTGGTAGTAACTAATATGGAACAATACGGCAACTTACCTTTAAGTACGAAGAACAGGAAAGGGTTTCGAATACCAGTGGATAATAAAGAACTTGATAGTACTCACCGAAATATAACCAGTGCGGGGACAAATGGTTGAACATGACCCGACACACACCAGGCACGATCCAGCACGCGCTAGTCATCCATAATTACACGATGATTGCGGTAATGGTGGGTCGCCGCCATTAGAATAATCATATTCATATTTGTCGCGGTACTTCTCCAATCCTCCGTGTGGATAAACTGTTTGAAGTGAACCGACCGGGTAAGGATAAAAGAACGTAAGATGTCGTAAATGTAAATGCTAGAAAAATCTTTGGTAGGTTTAATGTCAATGCGGCGAGATTTGGAGAGCCATAAACAAAAGCTAGTTGTGACGTGAAGAGCCAGGCGAGGACGAGTGGGGGACACTGATAAAGGTGTCAATGAAAGCGACCCGAGCCGGGACGCCAGATGGTAGATTTCGTCAGCTATGTCTGTTATACTTACAACCAGAGTGTCTGATCAACCATCTACCAGTGGGTTGTGTGTCGGCGTTTGTGGTACAGTCATCGGTGTCTAATCAGCCTTCTACTAGTGGGTTGTGTGTCGGCGTTTGTGGTACAGTCATCGGTGTCTGATCAGTCATCTACTAGTGGGTTGTGTGTCGGCGTTTGTGGTACAGTCATCAGTGTCTAATCAGCCTTCTACTAGTGGGTTGTGTGTCGGCGTTTGTGGTACAGTCATCGGTGTCTGATCAGTCATCTACTAGTGGGTTGTGTGCCGGCGTTTGCGGTACAGTCATCGGTGTCTGATCAGTCATCTACTAGTGGGTTGTGTGTCGGCGTTTGTGGTACAATCATCGGTGTCTAATCAGCCTTCTACTAGTGGGTTGTGTGTCGGCGTTTGTGGTACAGTCATCGGTGTCTGATCAGCCTTCTACTAGTGGGTTGTGTGTCGGCGTTTGTGGTACAGTTTCATCGGTGTCTAATCAGCCTTCTACTAGTGGGTTGTGTGTCGGCGTTTGTGGTACAGTCATCGGTGTCTGATCAGCCTTCTACTAGTGGGTTGTGTGTCGGCGTTTGTGGTACAGTCATCGGTGTCTAATCAGCCTTCTACTAGTGGGTTGTGTGTCGGCGTTTGTGGTACAGTCATCGGTGTCTAATTAGCCTTCTACTAGTGGGTTGTGTGTCGGCGTTTGTGGTACAGTCATCGGTGTCTGATCAGCCTTCTACTAGTGGGTTGTGTGTCGGCGTTTGTGGTACAGTCATCGGTGTCTAATCAGCCTTCTACTAGTGGGTTGTGTGTCGGCGTTTGTGGTACAGTCATCGGTGTCTGATCAGCCTTCTACTAGTGGGTTGTGTGTCGGCGTTTGTGGTACAGTCATCGGTGTCTGATCAGCCATCTACTAGTGGGTTAGGTGTCGGCGTCTGTAGTTTTAGCGTCGCGAACACGCTTCATAATTACAAGGTGCTAGGTTCGACCCCAGCTACAGCCGATTTGGTAGTAGACAGCCGTGTGTAGACTTCGGCTGTGGTATCGTGAGTCAACCTTTCAGTGACAAGGGCGAACTACTAACACACAATTGCCTAGTGAAACCACAAACAGCTTGAACAAATCATGCTAAAGTTGGTTCTGCAACGTCCTTAAAAGTACATGCAACTAACTTCAAGTGGTTAGGTAGACGTTGCTGTGTGACCAGGAAAGACGCGGCTGTGTGACCAAGAAAGGCAAGGGTGTGTGACCAAGAAAGACGTGGCTGTGTGGCCAGGAAAGACGCGGCTGTGTGACCAAGAAAGGCGCGGCTGTGTGACCAAGAAAGGCGTGGCTGTGTGTTGCCAGGAAAGGCGTGGCTGTGTTTCAAAGAAAAGCGTGGCTGCGTGACCAAACAATTGCGTGGCTGTGTTGCCAAGAAAGGCGTGGCTATTTGACCAAGAAGGGCGTGGCTGTGTGACCACGAAAGGCGTGGCTATGTGACCAAGAAAGGCGTGGCTATGTGACCAAGAAATGCGTGTCTGTGTGACCAAGAAAGCCGTTGCTGTGTGACCAAGAAAGGCGTGGCTGTCTGACCATGAAAGGCGTGGCTGCGTGACTAAAAAATTGCGTGGCTGTGTTGCCGAGAAAGGTGTGGCTATGTGACCAAGAAAGGCGTGGCTATGTGACCAAGAAAAGCGTAGCTGCGTGACCAAGAAGGGCGTGGCTGTGTGACCACGAAAGGAGTGGCTATGTGACCAAGAAAGGCCTGGCTATGTGACCAAGAAAGGCGTGTCTGTGTGACAAAGAAAGCCTTTGCTGTGTGACTAAGAAAGGCTTGGCTATGTGACCAAGAAAGGCGTGGCTATGTGACCAAGAAAGATGTGGCTGTGTTGCCAAGAAAGACGTGGCTCTGTGACCAAGAAAGGCGTGGCTGTATTGCCAAGAGAGGCGTGGCTATGTGACCAAGAAAGGCGTGGCTGTGTGACTAAGAAGGGCGTGGCTCTGTGACCAAGAATGGCGTGGCTATGGGACTAAAAAACGTGGCTGTATTGCCAAGAGAGGCGTATTTATGTGACCAAGAAAGGCGTGGCTGTGTGACCAAGAAGGGCGTGGCTCTGGGACAAAGAAAGGCGTGGCTCTGTGACCGAGAAAGGCGTGGCTGTGTGGTCAAGAAGAGCGTGGCTGTGTGACCAAGAAAGGCGTGGCTATGTGACCAATATTAGGCGTGGCTATGTGACCAAAAAAGGGGTGGCTGTGTGACCAAGAAAGGCGTGGCTGTGTGACAAAGAAAGTCGTGGCTGCGTGATCAGGAAAGGCGTGGCTGCTTGACCAAAGAAGGCGTAGCAGCGTGGCCAACAAAGGCGTGGCTGCGTGACCAACAAAGGTGTGGCTAGACTGGCGTCTGATTTTATAACTGATGTAACTATTAAAGGATGCGGGCCTATGTGTTAGATGTTGGTGAATGCGTTAAACAATTTAGAAATCCTAGGCGTACCAGAGTTATATCTCCGTGGCTGGGGGTTTCTTCTTCTTCTTCTTCTTCTTCTTCTTCTTCTTCTTCTTCTTCTTCTTCTTCTTCTTCTTCTTCTTCTTCTTCTTCTTCTTCTTCTTCTTCTTCTTCTTCTTCTTCTTCTTCTTCTTCTTCTTCTTCTTCTTCTTCTTCTTCTTCTTCTTCTTCTTCTTCTTCTTCTTCTTCTTCTTCTTCTTCTTCTTTTTCTTCTTCTTCTTCTTCTTCTTCTTCTTCTTCTTCTTCTTCTTCTTCTTCTTCTTCTTCTTCTTCTTCCTTCTTCTTCTTCTTCTTCTTCTTCTTCTTCTTCTTTTCTTTCTTCTTCTTCTTCTTCTTCTTCTTCTTTCTTCTTCTTCTTCTTCTTCTTCTTCTTCTTCTTCTTCTTCTTCTTCTTCTTCTTCTTCTTCTTCTTCTTCTTCTTCTTCTTCTTCTTCTTCTTCTTCTTCTTCTTCTTCTTCTTCTTCTTCTTCTTCTTCTTCTTCTTCTTCTTCTTCTTTATTGTTCTTCTTTTCTTGTTTTTCTTCTTCTTCTCTTCTTCTTCTTCATCATCTTCTTCTTCTTCTTCTTCTTCTTTCTCCTTCTTTTCTTCTTCTTTTTCTTTTCCTTCTTCTTCTTCTTTTTCTTCTTCTTCTTCCTCTTCTTCTTCTCCTTCTTCTTCTCCTTCTTCTTCTTCTTCTTCTTCTTCTTCTTCTTCTTCTTCTTCTTCTGCTTCTTCTTCTCTTCTTCTTCTTCTTCTTCTTCTTCTTCTTTTCTTCTTCTTTTTCTTCTTCTTTTTTCTGCTTCTTCTTCTTCTTTTTTTCTTCTTTTTTCTTCTTCTTCTTCTTCTTCTTCTTCTTCTTCTTCTTCTTCTTCTTCTTCTTCTTCTTCTTCTTCTTCTTCTTCTTCTTCTTCTTCTTCTTCTTCTTCTTCTTCTTCTTCTTCTTCTTCTTCTTCTTCTTCTTCTTCTTCTTCTTCTTCTTCTTCCTCCTCCTCCTCCTCATCATCCTCATCTTCTTGTTCTTGTTATTCTTCTATTTCTTCTTGTTCTTCTTGTTCTTCTTGTTCTTGTTCTTCTTCTTTTTCTTTTTTTTTTCTTTATTTTTTCTACTTCTTCTTGAATCATCCTATCAAAAAACCTGTATCAGAAAGCAGGTAGTTTGAGTGAAAGCTATCGTGCTGTACACATTCCCATTCCTATGTAGCTTTTTCTTCACTGGGTTTGCAACATGCCAGATGGTGTCTCTGTTGGTAGCATTTTGTTGACTTTGCACACGTTCGGCATTTTCTAGGCAAGTTGAGTGAGTTATATCGTCTGCCCAAAGCCTGTCGCCTCGCGTGATGTCAAACATTCAGTCAAACTAAGATGTTCAATTCAAGCAAACAAGGAACACTAACAAATGCACTGAACGAACACTCAGTGTTTATAATTTTGTTTTAATGTAAATAAATAAATAAATAAAACACGGAACAAGTCCGGACAATTGAACAGACACGCTAAATAACAGACATGTTACTTTTGTACAGGTTCAAATATGGAGGTGACAAGTGGAAATTAGAGGCGGGTTGACATATGGAAAGCGTGTGGTTAATTATGCAGTATTGTTACATGTTTTACCATCATCATCATCGGTTATGTCATCATCACCATCATCGGTTATGTCATCACCATCATCGGTTGTCATCATCACCATCATCGGTTATGTCATCATAACCATCATCGGTTATGTCATCACCATCATCGGTTATGTCATCACCATCATCGGTTATTTCATCATCACCATCATCGGTTGACTCTCAACATCATCGGTTATGTTATCATCATCATCATCGGTTATGTCATCAACATCATCGGTTATGTCATCATCATCATCGGTTATGTCATCATCACCATCATCGGTTATGTCATCAACATTACCGTGTGCCCTACTAAAAAGACCTGTCATGGTTCGCCTCCCACAAAATCACCAGAATCACAGATCAGGTATGTGTTATTGTCCTCCACCATCTGTTTCCACAAACCATTCTAGTAAAAGTAAGTCTTGTCGTCTTCTTCTTCTTCCTTTTCTACTTGCTTCTATTTCTTCCGTTCTATTCTTCATCTGCTCAGCTCTGTTCTGTCTTACAGCGTCAAGTTTTGAAAAGACAACGGCAGCGAGCGGAAAAGCCATAAATGCACTCTTTTTTCGCCATTGGCACTTCGGGCGTATGACATCACACACATATGTTTACAGACTGGCAAAATATTTAACACCCCGCTGGCCGTATTTATTCCCAGGACTTTTAAACACGTGGACTCGAAGCTTCTTGGCTCGGAGTCAAGGGTGTCTAGCATCTCCATGTATTCTTTCTTTAAAACTTTCCCTTGTTCTTTGTCTATAATCCTTGCCATTTCTCACAAGGTTTACTTCTTCTCTACGTCTTATTTCTCTAATCGTCTTTGCTTCACAGGTCAGACATTTCTTTGTACTTATTTTAATTTGGCTTCATCGACCTGGAAGACCCTTGATTCCCCAGCACCCCCCCCCCCCACACACACATACACTCACGCAAATATACACGCTCAAACACACACGAGCGCACGCATAAAGCACGCACTCACACACCCCGCGTACACACACACACACACACACACACACACACACACACAAGAATAAAAGAGTAGTTGTATTATACAAATTGTGTAGGGGACGTAATTTTCCATGACTATGTTTGATTTTTTCAAAGTTGTTGTTATGTCCCTTTACAAATTATTTTACAAGATTTGTGTTGACTGACTGACTTTCTACCCCACTAGGACATCACACAAGCGACAAACACCCGATGACACAAAGTGCCACCATGCGGATGAGGATCACCGTGGAGAGGTCCCAGAAACCGCGTTCAGACAATTGGCCATATTGATGGCCTGCCTATATTGCGGCCCCTGGCAAAAGCCAGAGTGGGGCTTCAAATAACGGGACGTATGGACTTAAGGTTTGTGTTTATGTGCGATCAAAAGTGTTTCACCGACTGTACACAGGCTATCTGTGGACACCTCATGACACACTCAACAGATCAAGCTCTTCAGTAACTTATTTACCCCGCCGATTCCTTTGGTAACACATTTACACTATCGATTTTTTTCAGGAACACTTTTAACTCGTCGATTTCTTTAGTATATTTTCTCGCTGACCTCTTTAGTAACCCATGTACCCAATGGATCTCTTTAATAACAGTTACCCCCCCCCCCTCCCCCGCCCCTAGATGTCTTTAGTAACATATTTACCCAATCGATCTCTCTAGTAACACATTTATTCTATCGATCTCTAGGCTGACACATCTAATCTACCCACCTCTGTGGTGATGTATATCTTTAATCAGTCTCTTGAGTCATACTTTCAACTAATCAGCTAATTATCTCATTTGTGTCATTAACATCATTCTTCTTCTTCTGCCTTTCTATCCCCCAATGGAGCATAGGCCCTCAACCAACTCACGCCAAGTCGTTCTATCCTTCGCTATTGCATGGAGCTCTCGCCATGTCCTTCCCATCTTTCTAACCTCATTCTACAGCTCTCTTCTCCATGTGTTTTTTGGCCTTCCTTTATTCCTATGCCCCTGTGGGTTCCAATGCAAAGACATTCTAGTTATGCTGTTCTCCTGTTTTCTCAGTGTGTGTCCAATCCGACGCCAGCGTCTTTTCCTCACCTCTTGGTCAACTGTAGCTTGCTTAGTTCTCTACCAAAGCTCTACATTAGTGATTCTATCATACCATTTAATTCCGTCTATTCTGCGCAGCCACCAGTTAATGAATGTCTTTAGTTTATTAGTTTAGTAATTGCCTTAGTTGTTCTCCCTTTTCATAAACTCTGATTGTCCAGTTGCCGATTCGATGTCCAAGTTTCTGCATTATGTATCTTTAAAGCATACATAACACTTGACGTTTATTTTTTTTTTTATTTTGTTGTTGTTGTTGTTGTTAATCCCTCTAACTGTTTATTATTTTGTCATCTTATTAAATACCATAGTAACAAGTTTATCCAAACTAACCAACCATCTAGAAAAATCAGCTGACCCATGAAGCTGCAGTACCTCGCTGTGTCTAGCTACAGTGTTACAGCTGTTGCAGAAGTCAGTATCAACGACACATCACGGAGAAGCTCAGAATTCACACACAGGTGTTTATCGTTGGTTGCTCACACTTGTCGGCCTGGTCGCTTTCCGCGATCGCCCTGACAGACTCTCGTGACACATATCGATTCAGACATCAAGGTCCCTGTGTGGGTTCCGGGGCCCTGTTATTGGGCCTACCCAAATGCATGTCGTAAGAGTCGACTAATTGGAAGAAGAAGAAGAAGAAGAAGAAGAAGAAGAAAGAGAAGAAGAAGCTGCAGATGAAAAAAGAAGAAGAAGAAGAAGAAGAAGAAGAAGAAGAAGAAGAAGAAGAAGAAGAAGAAGAAGAAGAAAGAGAAGAAGAAGCTGCAGATGAAAAAGAAGAAGAAGAAGAAGAAGAAGAAGAAGAAGAAGAAGAAGAAGAAGAAGAAGAAGAAGAAGAAGAAGAAGAAGAAGAAGAAGAAGAAGAAAGAAAGAAAAAGAAGAAGAAAAAAGAAAAAGAAGAAGAAAAAGAAAAAGAAGAAGAAAAAGAAGAGGAAGAAGCAGATGAGGAAGAAACACGAAGGATAGTGTATTACCTGGTTTCAGCTTGAATCTATCATTCACTGCTGTATGTCGCTCCTGATATACAAAAACAGTTCTTTCAATTTGATCCATAGACAGGCTCTCCGCGTCTGCTGGGCTACTTTCTCTCTGTGTCAGATATTCACCTCCGCTCTCAGGTATTCGAAATCACGCAAAACAATCACTCAATCCGACCGTCCGGTTGCAATCTCTGCCTCACACAGAATGCCTCTTTCTTCTCTCGCACCTTGACCTGTCCCTTTCTCATCACGAGATTTTCAACAATCATACATTTGTCAAACTCACAATCGCAATTTTAAATGTTTTCTCCCCTGATTATATCTTAACTGGCTTCTCATTTATTGACCTGTCTCGTCGGGAAATTCCCTTCTGACGTCAAAGGATTTTCCCGCATCCTTACACTACCAACCGAGGAACCAACAAGATAACCTAACATTGGCCACAGGTCAGCTCATTAAAAGAGGAATTCTGGCCAAGAAATTCTAATTAGCTTGTTCCAATTCCCGACTTTTTCTGTCTCTATTTTACACGTGTGTTGTTACCTTTACGACCTCTGTCAAGTGTCACACCCAATCACATAATTGCTACTTTAATTTTATACAACCACGTCTAGTTGACTTCGAGATTTTGTAGGGAATTCCTAGCGATACCTAGGGGTTTTCCTGAACAGTACCATATTAGGGGGGGGGGGGGAGTGGGGGGGGGGGGGGGGTTAGGGCTAGTGTTAAATGAACAAAATAGCGACATTTACTAAGCCTAACCCTAAAGCCCCTATACTACGGAACGTTCTGGGGATTTCCTTACTAATTCTCGGAACCGACGAGACGCGGTCGTAAAAAATTAAAGTACCACATAATTTTGCTGAAGACACACCCAGATGTTAGACTGACAGGGCGTTACTTCTTGCGAAACATTTTTACACTCTTGCCACTATCAGCTAGTTTTGCATTGGTCTTGTCATTGGACAATTTACAGTGGTAGGTGGAGCTTATTCTATTGTCTCTGTATTGTGATTGGCTATTGCTGATGAAAGTGAGGTTGACATCGCCATTTATGTACACACGTCCCAGAAATTCGTAGATGGGCGTTACCTGGGGTGCAAGATCCACCCCATTGTCTGGTACGATGGATTGCCCAGACAATTCCACTGTCTGTCCGTCGTCCACGAGATCAAAGTCTGTCAAAGCATAACAAGATACGGTAAGTAAGTCCACTTGACCTTTCTGAGGGATGATGACAGATGGACACACATACATACTAGCATATCGACAGACAGGCAAAATAGCAGACATGGTAACAGACGAACATATAGACAGACGGACGTATTGACAAGCAAGCAAGCAGACAGACAGAGACTGAAAGACCGATCTATCAATCGACAGACAGATAGACAGACGGACGAACAGACAGACATACAAGCAGGCAGGAAGACAAGCAGGTAGGCAGACAGACAGACAGACAGACAGACAGACAGACAGACAGACAGACAGACAGACAGACAGACAGACAGACAGACAGACAGACAGACAGACAGACAGACAGACAGACAGACAGACAGACAGACAGACAGACAGACAGATAGACAGATAGATAGATAGATAGATAGATAGATAAATAGATAGATAGATAGATAGACAAATTAGATAGATAGATAGATAAATAGATAAACAGACGGAAACATAGACAGAGAGACAGCCGATAGACACACAGACAGACAAAAAGATATATGTATAGCTGAAAGAAGGACTTTCTATAACTGGATAGATATGCGACAATTGGTCCTGCATAATAAAAAGAAAAAAAAAACTGGAATATGTCAGAGAATGGATAACTTGCCCTCGTAAGCAAACAAAGAGGACAATATAACTGTGAAAACAGGGGAAGGGGGAGAGGGGGGTTTGTTGAATACCCCAAATGCGTTGACCTGTTGAGGTGCCATGCAAATACAGATCGCTTAAGAAGAAGCTATAATCGTGTCCTGTCCTTTGTTGTTTGACAGGATTTCGTACTCAACCACATAACTACTGCAAGTTATATCAGGCCGGCATGGCCCTTGAATGTGCTCTAATTTTAACTTCCTTTTAGGTTGAACAGGGTATCTGATGTACCTGCCTTGTTGGTCGGGCCTCCAGATTAAGATGTTGAGATCTCAGGTAAGTATAGTAAACTTTTAGGTATGAGCTCATGGGGAAGGGGGAGGGCTGGGGGGGGGGGGGGGGGGGGGGGGGGGGAGGGGCAGACAATCGATGGATTGACAAAACTTCTCTTACGTACGTTGTCGCCTCTGGAGCCTGACTATCTGGTCTCCCAGTTCTCTCAAGCTTAGCAGTGTTCACGGAGGAGAAGACACATGGTGGTGGTATGTGAGGGAACACCTTGTGACAAATGTCATCTGTTCACTTCCATAGAGAGCTCCGGATGCAGTGTCACGCACCTGCCCACATCAAGAGACCACTCATCTGCCCACACCAAGAGAGTCACAGGTGCGGTACCACACATTTGCCCACACCGAGAGAGTCCCAGGTGCGGTACCCCACATCTGCCTACACCAAGAGAGTCCCAGGTGCGGTACCACACATTTGCCTACACCAAGAGAATCCCAGGTGTGGTACCACACATCTGCCCACACCGAGAGAGTCCCAGGTGTGGTACCACACATCTGCCCACACCAAGAGAATCCCAGGTGTGGTACCACACATCTGCCCACACCGAGAGAGTCCCAGGTGTGATACCACACATCTGCCCACACCAAGAGAGTTCCAGGTGTGGTACCACACATCTGCCCACACCAAGAGAGTCCCAGGTGTGATACCACACATTTGCCCACACCAAGAGAGTCCCAGGTGCGGTACCACACATCTACCCACACCAGGTTATAACTCACCCGTCACTAAGCTTCCAATGACCTGTCTTGACCTCATGTTTGTCCCGCGGCACTTTGACAAATCCATGACGAGATTCAAACCAACACCTTGTGCCACAGATCTGGCTAGTGCATGGAAATCTTGGACCCTAGAAACTCGATCTCTGGTATTTAGGGTAAACACTGCACCTCCATACCTGCGCCACCAGAACAATGTGTAAGTATGAGTGAGGTTATGTAGCTGCAAACTGACAAAGTTCTATTACTAAAATTATTGGTAGATCAGGTGTTTTACAAGTTGAATGCAAAGACTTTACACACGCGCAGAACCAACCCTAGCATTGTTTGGCTGTTTATAATTTACTAGGCAATTTTAGGTTCAGTTGTTTGCTGTGTTTAAGACAGTTTGTTCTACGTGTTGTCGAAATCAGTACAAAGCTAAATCTCATGCAACTGCAATCAAACCGACATTTGGGGACTGGGAAGCGTGTTAGCAACGCTAAAACTACTGACACCGACTATTTGGTGATTTAAATCAACGCAAAAATCCCAGACTGGGTCTCTATATCAACACAACATCATCCCAGACTGGGTCTCTATATCAAAACAACACTCACAGATTGGGTCTCTATATCAACACAACACTCCCATACTGGGAGCTTATATCAACACAACACTCCCAGATTGCGTTCTTACATCAACACAACACTCTCAGACTGGGTCTCTATATCAACACAACACTCCCATACTGGGGGCTTATATCAAGACAAAACCCAGATTGGGTTCTTACATCAACACAACACTCCCAGACTGCGTTCTTACATCAACACAACACTCTCAAACTGGGTCTCTACATCAACACAACACTCCCAGATTGGGTACCTACATCAACACAACACTCCCAGACTGGGTCTCTACATCAACACAACACTCCCAGACTGGGTCTCTACATCAACACAACACTCTCAGAATGGGTCTCTACATCAACACAAAACTCCCAGATTGGGTTCTTACATCAACACAACACACCCAAACTGAGTCATCACATTATCAACACAACACTTCCGTATTAGGTAGTTGCACCGCTACAAGTGTGTGTTTCGTAAAGCCCCAGCTAAGAAAATGTAGGCACTTCAAACGGGTGTGCACACAAACCTCAGGATCTGGAACGTCCAGAAGTAGACGAACAACCAGAACTTTCAGTCGCAGTTTACGGCTGGCGAAGGCGAAGAAGAAGAACAATCCGTCAAGAACTGCTCTCTGGCTGTCACAAACACTGGCTTTCGTAGTTCTTCTCCAAGATATCCCGAAACTTTTGGCATAGTTTTCTTTATGTCTCTCTCTGTCTATCTGTCCTTCTCTCTCTTCTTCTTCTTCTACTCCCCCTGTGTGTGTGTGTGTGTGTTTACTTGTAGAAAAGCCACTGCTTTTGAAGGTAGCATCGTAAGTAAACATATTCAATTTATAAAATAAAATGCAGTATTATCGAAGGGATCAACAAACTAGAACAGGGAACTGACCCCCACACACACACAAACAAACACACACATGCACTCAAACATACACACACACACCCCACCTAAAAACACACACACAGTGAGGAGAGATAGATGAATGTAGAGTGATAAAGAGATATGGGAAAATAAAACAGCTGAGAGAATAAGGTAGAGTCAGATAGATAAAGAAAGAACAAGAAAGATGTGGACAGACAGACAGACAGACAGACAAGCAGAGAGATAGGCAGACACAGAACGAATGTCAGGCTGTTACATATATGGCATGATAAAATGGTTCCTGAACATCACAAAGGCGTGTCAGCAAGTGTTCGTGTGAGCAGCCTACTTACAGTAGAGACCCCTGATTGAGTCGACACTGGAAGCTGCCCGTTAGCATCAGTGAAGGGAAGAGCTGCTCGGGGTCAGTTTTGTACAGGTCAACTTTGACACGACCGTCGGTCAGTAAGGTCACATATCTTACAGTAAGCTGGGCACCTGTGGGGATGTAGCATGTACTGATGGGCACTTATAGAAGTTAGTGATAGAACGTACAGATGCGAGAATACAATAGACAACACAAAAATTGAAAGTGAACTATAGTTCATTCTTCCCCCACACCCTCCCACCCAACTCCCTTTTTGTATGTCACTTGGACCCTAATGAAACGTCACTGTGTTTTCAGCTTTTGTGACTTTGTCTGGCGAGTCAATTTTGTATAATCTTTTTAGACATCGCTTCTTAAAGCCACTTAAACTTTTATTTTGGTTTAATTAAGTTTCTTCATGTTGTCCTTCCACTTGTAACGTTGTCTGTCTCTTGTATTCTTGCCTTTAACGTTTCTGTCCAGTGTGGTTTTTAAAAGAGTATCATGTCTTTAAATGTGACAGACATATTACATTTGTCTTGTTAATTTTATATTTCTGTCAGTAGCTCTCTTTCAGTTTGCAGTCTCTCCAGACTTTTTGTAATTAAAGTACGACGTATTTTTGTGTGTATCCACATGTACAGATTCTTCTTTTTCCGCCTTTTTAGCCCCCAGTGGAGCATAGGCCCTCAACCAACTCACGCCAAATCGTTCTACCCTTTGCTATCGCATGCAGCCCTCTCCATGTCCTGCCCATCTTTCTAACTTTAATCTCCAGCTTCCTTCTCCGTGTTTTTTTTTTGCCTTTCTTTATTCCTATGCCCCTGGGGGGTTCCAGTACAAAGACATTCTAGTTATATTGTCCTCCGATTTTCTCAGTGTGTGTCCTACCCAACGGCAGCGTCCTTTCTTTACCTTTTGGTCCACTGTAGCTTGCTTAGTTCTCTACCAAAGCTCTACATTAGTGATTCTATCATACCATTTAATTCCGTCTATTCTGCGCAGCCACCAGTTAATGAATGTCTGTAGTTTATTAGTTTAGTAATTGCCTTAGTTGTTCTCCATTTTCATATACTCTGATTGTCCAGTTGCCGATTCGTTTCTGCATCATGTATCTTTGGAGCATACATAACACCTGACGATTCTTTTTTTAAATTTGTTGTTAATCCCTCTAACTGTTGTTTTTTTTTCATTTCATGGAAGTCAGGTTTAGCCATTCATATTGTCTCTTTGATTTCAGTTTCACTTGTGCAGTCAGTGACTAAAGTTAGTTGCGTATCTTTAACATGACGTTGCAGAACCAAACCCAGATCATTTTGGCTGTTGTGGTTTTTTCTAAGATAAATTTTGCGTTCGATAGTTTGCCCATTGCCTTCCTAAACGGTCAGTTCCCGGTACCACTGTCCAAATCAACGCAAGACAAACCGTCCGCAGCTGGGATCATACCCGGCACCTCGGCATTACGAAGCGTGTTCGCAACGCCTAAGCCACAGACGCTGTCGGAGTTTACAGCAGGTGAAAGCGAAGAACAAGAACAAGAACATCTGCTTTCTGATGAGTACCTTCCTAATCCTAGTCTTTGGACTGCTACCCGTAGGCTTGACATCCTAGTGACCCAAAAAGTCGCATCCTGAATGCCTGTTCGACAGGACAGTTTCCAGGTAGCCCTGTTCAGTGGTTACAATTAGGGCACTGGTAACGACAACACCGAGTACCACCAGGGTGGGCCAGTTGCTCTGGAAGTTTAGGGATATTGCCAAGCAGGGACGACGGGATCTGATGGCTCGCACACCTTGAGCCAACCAAGCCCTCATCCTTTTTTTTACCCCATCACCCTTCCCCGTCCACTCAGTAATTTGTAGAAATCTTCCTCTTCTTCTTCGCGTTCACCAGCTGTACACTCTGGCGGAAGGTTCTGGTTGCTCGCCCACTACTGAACTGCAGTCCTGCTCCAGAACCTGAGTGTTGCGTGTGCATCAGTTTTACAGATCTCATTCTCTTGAATACAGACTGTTGGTTCCTTGCCTCTCCGGCAGATGCACTCCGACTTCAAAGGAAGCTCCCCAATTAGTCGACTCTTACGACATGCTTTTGGGGAGGCAGTGGGTCTATTCTTGTTTTCCCCACAATGGGGTCCCGGAACCCACACGGGGGATGTGTAGAAATGAACGGTGTCCCTCTCCCTATAGAAAATGTGCATGTGTGCGAAGAAGTGCACTTTTTAAGCAATTATTTATACATTTCAGAATTTTCCAAATATATTATTGTATTCATGTGTCATTTAGCATTTAATCTTGTTCGTGTTCATCAGCTGTAAACTCCAGCTAAAAGTTTTGGTTGCTCTTCCACCTCTGGAGTTTGATCTTGTTCCAGAAACGAGGTGTTGCATGGACATCCGTTTTAGCGATCTAACAAATTTGTATGCAGACTATTGGTTCCCTTCCTCTCGTACACATGCACTACTTCGAAATAAGCCGCCGGTCAGTCTGACGAGATGCTTTTTGGGATGCAGTTCTTGACTTCCGTTGCGAAGTAAACATGAACTAAACAAGTCACATTTATCATAAACATATTTTCTGTCTCTAGTTGAACATTTTATGAATCAAGTAAACTCTGACCTCTCACCTTGATTTCCGATGCTATTTTTCCGTGTCATAAAACGGATGTGTCCGGACCGGAAGTTGTTGTCTTCTGTGTCTTTGACGTAGCCAAAGTTCTTGACTCTGCCTGAAAACGATGACCTTGACCCGGTGGCATTGCCGAGGTTAGAACACAAGGTCAGATCAATCAGAAAGTGAACTTCATGTCCTGAGGTCAAGGCCAATAATATTTGTAAAAATGATTTCAGATTTATTTTCTTAGTTCCCTTTTTTCTTTTCCATTCATGTTTCTTTGCCAGATGGTTTCTTCCACGATGTATTTTATTTGTGATAGGTCGATAACTTTCCATCGTGTTGTTCCTAAATTGCCCATTAGAAATGGAAGGGCTCTGAATATGGTAAGGGGGAAGCACTTCGTTTGTTATTATTTGCAGATCAGAATTGTGGGACTTGTGGCGGCCATATTTGTGGACATCCGGTGTTTGGGATTTTTGAAGTACATAGGAAATCTTGACTTCAGCCAGTCGTAGCTTTTTGGTGATTCTGTACCAGCCTTCGGTCAGCAGGAGTTGATCCTTGGTTAAAGTCATAGAGAAGCCAATACGGCCCTGAAATATTAAATACAATCTTGGCATAAAGTAGGTAGAAGTACAATCATGTATGTTATGGATATATATATGAATATATATATAATATATATATATATATATATATATATATATATATATATATATATATATATATATATATATATATATATATATATATAATCATCATCATCATCATCATCTTCTTTTTCTTTTTCTTTTTCTTCTTTTTCTCCTCCTCCTCCTCCTCATCACCTAATCTTTTAGTTTGTCCTCATATACCTCCTCTACTTGTCCTCTTCTTCCTTCTCTACCCTGTCCTGCTCCTCTTCCTTCTCTACCCTGTCCTGCTCCCCCTTCCTTCTCGGTAACTTCAAATCCTAATAAAGCTCAAGCCAATTTTTTTTTTTTTAAAGTCTCTGCATATTTATTGCTGACTTGTTGTAACAACTGCAACAGACACCCAGTCTAGCCGGCATTAGCCTTAGTTGTCTTTCACAACATGCTCAACACAGTGACACATATAGCTATATAAGAAGAAGAGGAGGAATAAGAAGAAAAAGAAAAAAAAAGAAGAAGAGGACGATAATGAAGAAGAAGAAGAAGGAGGAGGAGGAGAACAAGAAGAAGAAGAACAAGAAAAAAAGGAGAAGAAGAAGGAGAAGAAGAGGGATGAGAAGAAGAAGAAGAAGAAGAAGAAGAAGAAGAAGAAGAAGAAGAAGAAGAAGAAGAAGAAGAAGAAGAAGAAGAAGAAGAAGAAGAAGAAGAAGAAGAAAAAGAAGAAGAAGAAGAAGAAGAAGAAGAAGAAGAAAAAGAAGAAGAAGAAGAAGGGGGAGGAGAAAAGGGAGAAGAAGAAGAAGAAAAAGGAGAAGGAAAAGAAGAAGGAGAAAGAGAACAAGAAGAAGAAGGAGAACAAGAAGAAGAAGGAGAACAAGAAGAAGAAGAATTATAGACATTTCCTTCGAAGTCAGAGTGGGTCTGCATGAGAGGCGAAGTACCAACAGTCGTTGTACACATAAGTCAGACCTTTAAAGCGGACGAGCACACAAAGCTCAAGTTCTGGAACAAGACCAAAGTTCAAAAGTGGACGAACAACCAGAACTTTGTGCCCACGTTTACAGCTGGTGAACGCGAAGATGAAGAATGGGTAACCTGCGAAAGGTGGGAATATGGGGAAAATTTATCGACAACAAGAGGTTCTTCAGCGAAGAGGGCACACAGATAATTTGCCCTTATGGCATGGCTAACAGGTATTATTAATAGAAGAACATAGACTTAATCGGAGACTCTAGTGATCCTGTAAGTTGGTGAACCTCGATTACATACGCTGATTGTCAAGTCACACATTAGTGATGAGTCTAAAATATTGTACCTGATTTTGGTCCAGTGATCCCAGGCACAACTGCCCAGTGATTCCCACGAACGTGCCGTCGGCTAAACGTCTCCAGAACATGTCGCATTCACCGAAGCTCCAAGACTTACCTGCAAGTCGCTTCATGGTATCAAGGCTCAGAGCGACGTGCTGGCCCGTCCTGCAGGCACTGGACACTAAAACAGATCCATTGATGTGGAAAGTTCTCATACGAACCCCACCAGTCTGTGTGTCTTTGGAAAAACTGTAAAATCCAGACCTTACTGGTTTGGTCGTGGATTTGGAAAAATCCTGGAAATAAAATGTCACTGAATCGTTAAACATGGGAGTTGCCAGTTTGTAGATTTCTGACCGAAAAAGGAAGCGAAGTTTCTGAATGGGAATCGCCGTTTGGTCGTACTTGTAATTTTGATGAATTTTACTGTAGCAGCCTGGCAGATTTCTAGTCAACGTCTGCAAACTGGTGTACTGTAAACCTGCTGTTCTTTGTGAGCATGTAAACGTCAACAGAAGCAACTGTAGCGAAAGGCGAATCCAAAAACAGGGCGAAGATTTAAAATGTTGACTGTGAGAAACTGGTGTAGTTTTCCTTGGACACCGCCAGCTTGTAACTGGCGAGAAGTTTAAACACATTGTGATGGCGTCAATGTTCAAAACGACACGGAATAATCTGTATAGAAAACAAAATCTGAATGATATTTCCGTTAGTTTTAACGTTATAACATATGAATGAAATGGTTCACTTTCTTACTTCTCCTCTTCTTCTTCTTTTTCTTTTGCTTCTTCTTCTTCTTCTTCTTCTTCTTCTTCTTCTTCTTCTTCTTCTTCTTCTTCTTCTTCTTCTTCTTCTTCTTCTTCTTCTTCTTCTTCTTCTTCTTTTCTTCTTCTTCTTCTTCTTCTTCTTCTTCTTCTTCTTCTTCTTCTTCTTTCTTCTTCTTCTTTCTTTCTTTCTTTTCTTTCTTCCTTTCTTCTTTCTTCTTTCTTTCTTTCTTTCTTTCTTTCTTCTTTCTTTCTTTCTTTCTTTCTCTTCCTGACCTTCTTCTTCCTTCTTCTTCTTCTTCTTCTTCTTCTTCTTCTGTCTTCTTCTCTTCTTCTTCTTCTTCTTCTTCTTCTTCTTCTTCTTCTTCTTCTTCTTCTTCTTCTTCTTTCTTCTTCTTCTTCTTCTTCTTCTTCTTCTTCTTCTTTCTTTCTTCTTTCTTTTCTTTCTTTCTTTCTTCTTTCTTTCTTTCTTTTTTTTTCTTTCTTTCTTTTTTCTTTCTTTCTTTCTTCTTTCTTTCTTTTCTTTCTTTTCTTTCTTTCTTTCTTTCTTTCTTTCTTTCTTTTCTTTCTTTCTTTTTCTTTCTTTCTTCTTTCTTTCTTTCTTTTTCTTTCTTTCTTTCTTTCTTTCTTTCTTCTTTCTTTCTTTCTTTCTTTCTTTCTTTTTCTTTCTTTCTTTCTTTTTTTTCTTTCTTTCTTTCTTTCTTTCTTTCTTTCTTTCTTTCTTTCTTTCTTTTCTTTCTTTCTTTCTTTCTTTCTTTCTTTCTTTCTTTCTTTCTTTCTTTCTTTCTTTCTTTCTTTCTTTCTTTCTTTCTTCTTTCTTTCTTTCTTTCTTTCTTTCTTTCTTTCTTTCTTTCTTTCTTTCTTTCTTTCTTTCTTTTCTTTCTTTCTTTCTTTCTTTCTTTCTTTTTTCTTTCTTTCTTTCTTTCTTTTTTCTTTCTTTCTTTCTTTCTTTCTTTCTTTCTTTCTTTCTTTCTTTCTTTCTTTCTTTCTTTCTTTCTTTCTTTCTTTCCTAATCTTTCCTATCTTTCTTTCTTTCTTTCTTTCTTTCCTTCCTTTTCTTCCTCTTCTTCTTCTTCTTCCTCTTCTTCTTCTTCTTCTCCTTCTTTTTTTTTCTTCTTTCTCTTTGATAATTTGATCATAGCTCTCTTAAAACTTATCTTCTTCTTCTTTTGTGTCAATATCTGCTTATGTCGCTAGACGTGGCGGTTCATCAGACGATCGGCAGCCGTCAGGGCACTTGGTCGCTTGATATGCCGTGATTTTAGGCAGTCTCAGTGTGTCAGTGACTCCTTCCGTCCACTCTATTCTCGGTCTTCCCCTGCCTCTTGGTGTTTCGATTTTCAGGTTGGCATCGTAGGTAACGTTAACAGAGGGCTGAACCATTTTAACCTTTGTTTGTCAATAAATTTGACAATGAGTGTTATTCAAAAACTTCTTATGACGACGTCGTTTCTCACTCGATCTCTTCTGGTTTTATTATCAGCCATTCTCTAACATGTGTAAGGCAACTGTAGTGTTGTTGGTTTATGTGGTCCTGCAGCTATTTACTTCCACTATGAAATATTGGCGCTGATCGTCAGCAAAGAGCAGCTCAGTGAAATTCTCCTGTTTATTACCAAACAATCTCACTTTTGAGGCATCAAAATATCAACATGAAGATAGTAAAAAATAAGCTAATAAATTTGCTATTCGTATCAACATTGTGCTACATCGTACTATGTAAAAATGGCAGGCTAGAAAGCAAGAGGCCTGCCAAGAAAGAGATGGGCGGAGGGAGTAAAAGAGACACCACATATGACCACACAAACTACGCAACCAGCAAAAGGCAAGAAACTACTCCTCCCTGCGACGCACTACGATATCAGCAGTAGGAAGAAAGACATGAAACTAAATCTAACTCCTCTCTATCAAGCTTTACAGTATAAGCAGTAGGACGACAGTCAGGAAACTAAATCTAACTCCTCTCTATCAAGCTTTACAGTATAAGTAGTAGGACGACAGACAGGAAACTAAATCTAACTCCTCTCTATCAAGCTTTACAGTATAAGCAGTAGGACGACAGACAGGAAACTAAATCTAACTCCTCTCTATCAAGCTTTACAGTATAAGCAGTAGGACCACAGTCAGGAAACTAAATCTAACTCCTCTCTATCAAGCTTTACAGTATAAGCAGTAGGACGACAGACAGGAAAATATATATAGCTGATCTCTATGACGAATTATGGCTTGAGCAGTAGAACAGAAGGCAGGAAACTACATGCAATTCCTCTCTGTGACGCTTTTCATAAGCAGTAGAACAGAAGGCAGGAAACTATATCCAATTCCTCTCTGTGACATAAGCAGTAGAACAGAAGGCAGGAAACTATATCCAATTCCTCTCTGTGACATAAGCAGTAGAACAGAAGGCAGGAAACTATATCCAATTCCTCTCTGTGACATAAGCAGTAGAACAGAAGGCAGGAAACTATATTCAATTCCTCTCTGTGACATAAGCAGTAGAACAGAAGGCAGGAAACTATATCCAATTCCTCTCTGTGACATAAGCAGTAGAACAGAAGTCAGGGAACTATATCCAATTCCTCTCTGTGACATAAGCAGTAGAACAGAAGTCAAGGAACTATATCCAATTCCTCTCTGTGACATAAGCAGTAGAACAGAAGGCAGGAAACTATATCCAATTCCTCTCTGTGACATAAGCAGTAGAACAGAAGGCAGGAAACTATATCCAATTCCTCTCTGTGACATAAGCAGTAGAACAGAAGGCAGGAAAACTATATCCAATTCCTCTCTGTGACATAAGCAGTAGAACAGAAGGCAGGAAACTATATCCAATTCCTCTCTGTGACATAAGCAGTAGAACAGAAGGCAGGAAACTATATCCAATTCCTCTCTGTGACATAAGCAGTAGAACAGAAGGCAGGAAACTATATCCAATTCCTCTCTGTGACATAAGCAGTAGAACAGAAGGCAGGAAACTATATCCAATTCCTCTCTGTGACATAAGCAGTAGAACAGAAGGCAGGAAACTATATCCAATTCCTCTCTGTGACATAAGCAGTAGAACAGAAGATCTCTCAAATATCTACGTGAACTTACCACCTCTAACAACGTAATAAAAACCGTTTTTCTGCACGACCTATTCAATGAAATGTCCATTTTCTCCGTAACACTGCATCTCATTGGCCACGTAAGCAACAACTGACACACTGTGGCTACCGCCCAGGTCGTGGTGTTTCTGCTGGTGTTGCTTGGTGTCAGGGACAGTCGTGGTGACCACTTGAATTTGAAGTGTTTGCCCGGCTTCCCCTACACAGGTCCAGCAAGGCGTGGCTATCAGCCCTGAGTTGTTTACTGTCTGTATTCCGGTCTTACTAATGTTTGTCAACAAATGTTAGGTACTTGTTTTTTTATTTTACGCCATCTTGGGGACTCCGACATTTCGTAGGAGTTTCCGGGAAAGCCCAATAGTTTAGGGGTGTTTGGGTGTGAAACGAACACCGACTAACACTACCCATTAACACCCCCCCCCCCCTATTAAACTGGACTTTCCCGAGAATTTCCTACGAAATTTCGGAGTCTCCGAGATGGGGTAAAATAAAAGTAAATTGTCTAACGGTATTTACTGAGATATTTCCTTACTTGTTCCACCTTCAGATTGTCAAAATTAGTCTTCTTTAACTTATTTACAAAGGTGGCCACTAAAACATTGGAAATTATTTTGCGAATCACGTGACAGTGAGATAAAAAGTTCAGTAAGGATAAATTGGGTGAGTGGCGCCAGGCTCCGTACATGCTGACAGTTGACTTAGTCATTGGGAATTCTCGCCGTGCGTGAAGTTACCCTCCTCTTTGTCCCAGGAGATGTAGCTGTTGCTGGCGATACAGGAACTGATCGAGTGGCTGGTTCTGTCGAAGTAACATATGGCCGGCCTAAGGATCGCGCTGATATTGTTAATGCCGTTAGATCGAAGGATTTTGCATGTCTACATCACTGCAACGAATGCGATAACTATGAGTAAAGATCGGCACAGCTAAGCACGAGAAGCACACCAGATACACAAGAAGTCTTGTTAAGCAGCAAAGGACTGACACTATTATATACACTGGGACGCTGATATATATTATGAATGGAAAATCTGACACCTATAGCTGTGTTCGGAGTGCCATGAAGATATAACCAAACTTATAACTCCGCTAACTAATAAGGGAAGATTATAATCTTCAGCTGAAGCAAAGAAGGATGGCATAGTCAGTTAGGTCATAAATAAACAGAGGGGGAACCCTTGAGGCCGTATATATATATATATATATAATAAACAAACAGGAAATGTATTGATTGGTACCAATAGAAAGAATTAGAAAGATTGAAGGGCACACTAGACAACATAACAATCGAAAGCTGTAACTACTGTGCCGGGAGACGAACCCGTACCTCCAAACGGCGTATGTGCCTCGCTATGGAAACAAGTGAACTCAGATAATGACCAACTAGGCACCCCTAAAACAGACGTCTTCATTGGCTTACGTCAGCTAATTCATCAAGCTGGACAGGAAATATCTCCAGTTTTTTTATACATAGCTTTCTGTTTGAGTTTACAGTCCGTCAGCGCAAACAAGAAGAGCTTCATACTGTCTAGATTTTCACTGGTACTCTCTTATTAGCCGGCCACAAACAGGGGAAACTCTACAAGTCACGGGACAGTCAAATATTTCAGGAGGTACTTCACGTGCCTCGTCAGACAATTGTCTTGACATCGACCTGGCTGCCACCAGATACGAAGATAAGTGATATTGCGTCTTTGTGTAGTACTTGTCTAGTATTCGCTGAAGAAGGCTACATAGCCTCAACGTTCACGTTTTGTTTGTGTTCGTTA